ACGACTAACGACATCAAGCACATTATTTAGGATTTCACTGCTTTGTTGATAAAGTTTACAGGTGTGTTTTATTGTATTAAGAATAATTAAAAAAAACTTTTTAAAATATGAAATGCTTTGGTGTTTAAAATGTTCCTGTATTAATACAAGCACTTTAAAGTAAAAATGTTTTTCTTCTACTTTATAGAATAATTTTCATTTTCAATTCTATTATCATTTTCCTCTGTGTGTGTGTATATATATATATATATATATATATAAATATATATATATATATATATATATTTATATATATACAGACACACACACGTATGTTTGTTTGTATGTATTTATATGCACATTTTTTTTGTTTTCATTCAAACAAATGCCCAGAAAAGAAACAAGTTCCTTAGTAAGTACCCAGTTGGAACCTTGAAGTTTACAGCCAAGTACCTTGTAAGTACCTTGTAAGTACCTTGTAAGTACGCTTGTAAGAATGTAAGTACCTTGTAAGTACCCTAATAACAAGCCAGTACTTTGGTGAGCACTGAGTACACTGGGTACCTTGTAGACACAGGGTATATTTTTGGTTCCTTTCTTGAACTTTGTAAATACTGGATATGGAACCTGTAGGTACCATGCAAGTACTAAAGAACCCTGTAAGTGTTGGGCAGTTACCTTATAAGTACTCTTGCAAATAAAATAGTAGTTATCAGGTGTATACCCTGTAAGTACCTTTACTCCGTAGGTACTGGGCTGTATTATGTGTTGCTACCTGACAGTGAACCCAGCAGAACCCAACAAGTTCCTCCGTGGTTCCACATTAGTCAGTACTGCTGTTCTGCTGTTTACGTGCCTAAAGGTTTTTAAAACCAGAAGTTAAAATCCAGCAGACTCAAACGTTTTGTTAAGGAGATACAACATTATTCTTTATATGCCAGTTTAAATGAACGTAACGTCAGTGTTTCCTTCAAACGTGAAGATCAGCAGGGGAGGCTGAAAAAAGTCTGGAGTTCTGTTCACGCCAAACAGAAACTAAAAGTGTAACTGACGCAACTCGTCTAAAAGTTTAGTGTTTGACTAAAACAAGAG